AGTACGATGTCGACCCAAATGAATATTTAAAATGCCCCCTATCTTGTAGGGACATTTTGGATAGGCTTTTTGTCCTTAAGATTTTTAAATATTTATTTGGGGATCTCAGCACGCAGCGCGATGTCGACCCAAATAAATATTTAAAATGCCCCCAATCTGATGGGAGATTTTAAAATGTATTCTTACTACACAAGAGAATTTCAAAATGTAAATGTAAACATGCACTGATAACTATGTACATAAAACTTTGATAATTACAAAGTATATTAGTCATGAAATTTTCATGCATGATACTTCTTTAAATGTCTACCGTTGATAGGTGGCATGGGTCTCTGACCGTTCAATCGATCAACTGATATGCTCCTCCTTGATACACTTTCTCGATGACGATGGGGCCTTCCCAATTAGATATGAATTTGCCACCAATTTTTCGATGTGGAATGAAGTGTCTTCTCAGCACCAGGACCAATTCCCCTTCCTGAAATGATCGAGGACGCACCATTCGATCAAAAGATTTTGCCATTCTTCCTCGGTAGATTTCTAAGTTTTGTTGAGCTTGTAACCTGAGTTCATCAAGTGCATCGAGCTCTTCCATTCTGAGATGGGCATTTTGTTCTTGAGTGAGATCATTCTGAACTGCTACCCGAAGTGACGGTAACTCAATTTTTAATGGTAATACGGCTTCAACACCGAATACTAGAGAGTAAGGAGTGGCTTTGGTTGGCATCTTGTATGTTGTACGGTATGCCCATAGTGCTTCTGCCATTTTCGTGTGCCATTCTCTTTTGTTCTTGGTGAGGATCTTCTTCAACAATTTCACCAACGTCTTGTTGAAGGCTTCTGCCAACCCATTCGCCCTTGGATTGTATATGTATGAATATCGCCAATCGATTTTATGCCGATCAACGAACTTGTAGATTTTCGTACTTTTAAATGCAGTACCGTTGTCTAAGATTATACGGCGTGGCACACCAAATCTGTAGACGACATTGTGGGTAAAAAAATAGATCACTTGCTCTGATGTGACCTCTCTGAACGGAGCTACTTCTGTCAATTTGGAAAAGTAATCTGTTGCTGCCAGAATGAAACGGTGTCCCGGTGATGATGGCGGATCTATTGGACCGAAAATATCAGTGCCCCAGCATTCAAATGGCCAGGACGCTAATGTTGAGTGTAGTGTATTCGGAGGCTGATGTATAACATCACCGTAGATTTGACATTCGTGGCACCTCTTAGCGTGATCGATACAATCTCTGACCATAGTCGGCCAGTAATAACACATTCTCTTGGTTTTGGCAGCCATCTTGGGACCTGACTGATGTGCTCCACAAAGCCCTTCGTGGACTTCTGATACCACTTTATCAGCTTCCTTGATCCCTAGGCACCTTAGCCACATTTGATCAAAAGCTCGTCTGTATAACGTATCATTGACAAATGCGTATCGCAACGCCCTTTTTCGAATTTATGCGGCCATAAAATTTTCTGTCGGGAGTTTGTTTTCCTTGAAGTAGTCAATGAATGACTGCCTCCAATCATTTTCGACTTCAATATCTAAACAATGCCACCATGACTCTGAAGCTTGACTAGCTTTATGTCTCTTGGCTATATGATATTCTTCTAGATAATTCTCCATAACGATCTGATGGAGATGTTGAGGGTCAACTGAAATTTTATCTTGTTGACTTGAATAAGGTATTTCTTCCGCCATCGAAAATTGTAGCAGAGCGGGCTCCAAGACTCTTCGAGTGTAAACTCCGATGAATATAGGGCTCTCATCATTGATATTCATCATTTCCTTGGCTAATTTAGCCAGACAATCTGCTTTAGCATTCTGTCCCCGGGAAACTCGAGCTATTTTAGCATTTGGTACTTGCTTCAGAAGCTCGAGGGCTCGTCGATGGTAATGGGCCAATTAAACTTTGCCAACTTTATAAATGCCGAGGATCTGATTTATCACGAGCTGAGAATCGCCAAAGATTTGGAGATGTTGGATTCTGACATCAATCGCGATCTCCAGTCCTGCTAATAGAGCTTCGTACTCGGCTTCATTATTGGTTCGAGGTTCAGTCAAACTGAATGAGAACCTCATTATGCCTCCCTCAGGTGCTACGAAAATGAG